TCACTCTTCCTGGGAAGTGACGAAGTGGGTCATAAATAGGCCACGTTCGCTGGCTTCGGCGACCGATCTTGGACACGTGTCAGTACACCCCCCTCTCCTTAACCCGGCCCGTGGGTCAAATTTGACGGGCCCGGTCTAAATCTTAATAAAATAAAAATGTATATACAAAAACACTTCGGATAGTCTTCAATTGCTAATATGATATTTATATTTAAAGTATTATTATATACATGCTTTGATATAATATTTTTATTTAAAATAGCATATTTTTCCTTAATAATTATATATATAATATATATATTTATATTAAGATCCTCCGTACATATTTCTTCCTTCAACATTCATCCAAAAATAGCTAAGATTAACAGTGGCATACTATAATTAATGTTAGTTGTTTCAAGACAGAAAATAGAAAAAACTTTTCAATTTTGGAAGGATATAATGTGCATAAAACTTTGTTAGAAGCATTTAAGTTAATGGTTAGCTGTTTAATAGATTAAAGTCAAATGAACCTTTAATTTCTCATGTTTATATGGTCATGAGAATTTTGCATATGCATCCTTGTAAATTATATAGATACATAATATATATATATATCATATATACAAGTATGAGGAATTCAAAGATGATATCTTTGATTCCTGATAACTCAGAGAGAAGTAAAAATATATTTTTCTACCAAAAAATAACTTTGGCTCAAAAGATTACTATCTAGACATCAGAAAACACAGCAGAAAAAAACTTAGATTAACTCTATCCAATTCTCTGTTTTCTTCCTCGATGATGACTATTTGGTTTTCTCCAATATAGAGTTAGGATTTGTCTTAATCGAATCAACCCTGCCGTCTCATTGCAAAAGTAAATGCGCAACATTAATGTCTTTTCACAGACTAATTGTGCAAAATATAGTGCTCAAACGTGCACATCATCTTTCTCTTCCGACTTGCAGCTCTTCACAAAATTGCAGGTAATGATGGTATCAAAGACCAGGAGGAGGGAGTACGAGTAGGCGATGGACACAGCCTCCAAAATGGCCAATGGTTGCAGCTTCCCACCGGACTCAGAGTATGGCCTAATGACTCTACAATGGAAGAGAGCTTCCATGGCGGCCGCTCCGAGACTCGCAGGCAGAGCCAGAGTGATGGCGGTGGCCATCTTCCCATGGACCAGCACAAGGGCCTCGAGGATGCACAGGTACCCTCCGGTGTTCTCGGCGGCAGAGATGATCGTCGCCATGTTGCATGTGATGAGAGCATGGGCGAGCACCAACGAGTAGAGAATGACGCCTGCGACGGAAATGGCCAGCGTGAGGCTGCTCGACGCGAGGTCGAGGACGTCCGCGGCGTTGAAGGCCAAGAAGAGGAGGGACAAGACGGCAGCGTTGGCGGCGAGAACGAGGAAGGAGTTGCAGAGGTACGTGAGCACAAGAGAGGGGTAGAGACGGAGGAGCGAAGCGAGCGAAGGCAGTTTGCCGTGGATCGTCTGAAACACCGATGCTTTTGCTAGGATCAACGAGGTGGCGCCGAGGGGGAGAGCGGCGACGAAGGAGAAGGCGGCCTGCGAGAGCTTGACGTTGAGGAGGGCGAAGAAGTGCGAGGAGGGAAAGCCGGAAGCTTCGAAGAGCAGCCAAAGGCGGGAAGAGATCGCCGGTAGAAGATAAGGAGAAGAAGAAGAAGAAGACTGAGAGAGAAGAGTGACAATGGAGTAGGGGAAGACGAGGAGTGCAGCGGTGGAGATGAAGGTGTGGTAGCTCAAGAAGAAGGCATGGAAGGAGGTCCTTAAGATCTTGATGGCCTCTCCCATGGTTTGTGCAGGGTCGAGGAGCTTCCAAGGTTTGTCCAGTGGTGTTCGAACATGGAGTCCTTTTTCTATGGGGAAGAAGAGTCTCTCATGGTGGTTATGATGTGGTAATGCCAACCACCAAAATAAGAGCTAACAATGGGTGAAACAAAATCCAAGCTTGGTGTGTGCCAAAGTGATTGGCTTAAGATTGAAGCGAGCTTTGCTTTGTTTTGAAGCCATTTGAACAAACACCCCATATTATCGAAGCAGAAGCAGCAGCAGCAACAACAACAACAAAAAGGAGAAGTCATTGTCCATGGTCTGCCAATGGTTCCTCAAATTCAGAAGCTGGATCTCATCTGATGTTGATATAAACATATATTTTGTTTCATCTAATGACTTGAGAATTTAGATGACAAAATTTAAAATGGTGTAAGAGCTAAGAATTCTGTGTTCAGATCTTACTGGTGCCAGGAATATATAATCATACATAATTTCTTATCTGATAGCTTAAGTATTTTTTTAGGTAAATTAAATATGATTAAAATTTGAAGGACACTAACATGCTGCTGAAGCACAAGATTAGGGTGAGAAGAGGTGAAATGGAAAGTTAGGTGCAAATCGATAGCTGGTTAGGTGGTTGAGGAAATTAGCTTTGACTAAGATGATCAACTCCACTCTCAACTTTGAAATGATCACCTTCCAGTGAGACCATAATAGCTTACCCAAAGTATTCTTGTCAGTGTCAAGAATGTGATCCTCTTAAATTGGATGAGACATGAGTTAATCTATGATCTTATCACTCCTCATGCTTAGGTGAAAAACAGATTGAAACCCCATTTATGAAACTTAAGTTGATCAGATATAATTTGTTTTCTTGCATTGTCTCAAAATGATCTGAATATGGCACCTTCTTCCCTGATATCACCTTAAATTGTTTGATCAATACTACTACATCTAAAGTGATGTCTTGAATGAAAGAGGTAGAAATAGGTTGTGCCAAGACTAGAGATGTAATCAGCAGTCACTGATGTCAGGATGTTAAAAAGGTGCTGAGTGCATACAAGGAAGATTTATGTTCATATCATGCAAGGCAACATAATCACTTAAGTTCATCAACAAGTAGGCAATTTCAAGCCATGAAGAGCAAGTGATATAGCAGGAGAATCCAAACACCAAAGTGAGCAAAAAGAAGAGGCCATTGTGAGGCTGGTGATCGGTCCTGTCCACCATGTTATCATGTGTGTCAACAGGAGGGATAGAAAAGTTCTTCTTGGTGGGAGGTCAAATAATTTGGTGGTGGACATCCTCAAGGTTTCTGGAACTAGATCAATCACTTGTATGATCTATTAGAGACTGGCAGTAAGTGTTAATTTATGCAAAAAAATAAAAATAAAAAGACTGTTTATACAAAAAGCAATCCAAATAGATATTGTATTGTGGGTGAAGAAATGATCATGTTCTGAATTTATAGAATCCAAGGGAGTGTACATCTATCTATTCAGAAAAGAAATTGTCATATCCCGAATGATATATATTCAAAAAGTCACATATCTTTAGTTTTAATCATTAGAAAATATGACTACTCAAACAAGGCATTTTCGCGTCGTCTGATAGAATGTAAACAATTTGTTAAATCATCTCCTAAATTTCACATATGTTCTAAATGTTTTGAATGTGGGTCACATTAATTCTAACACCAGCATTTTGATTTAAGATAGAGATTTGTTTGGTGTGGAGGTACCCAATTGTGCTCCTCTCTTATGAGGTAGGTAGGTCACCTATTGATAATTGATCAACTTTTCACTACATGGGTTCTACTTGTTTAATTGTTGTAAAGCAAGAAACCAGAAGGTGGTGGACCTACTCATTTGACAGAAAATAGTGGCCTTGTGCAACAGAAAGTATGCTTTGTCCACTGTGGTTTCATCCCCCATGTTCTCCTGGAACAAATAACAGCAGTCTGATAGGCATTTCCCAGGCAAAATGCTGAAGCATACAAGAGAAAGAAAGATCAAATAATATATTTTGGTATACAAGTTGAATAGAACTACCAATGACAATACATAGGGAGTTGAGGAGAGGTAAAGGCATGATGTAGATTCACATCTGTTTTGTTCAACAGATCAATGGCATGAGAAATGGTTTGTGAAAGTAGTCTTGATAGGAAGAAAGCTCCTATTTGTGTTGCGAGAAAGATATCAAGATATTTCTTTACAACATGATGAGATTATTACTGTACTATGGTAGAGAGAGAATATTCAGAAACATTTTCCTGCTTTTACCTCTTTTCAGGGTCACTTAAACCTCTTATTTTTCCACTGTGAATTGCTTCCATCTGAAAGCTGTTTGATCAGGTGAAAGTGATGAGCTTATTCACCAAGTGGTTAGTTCCTAGCTTGTCCCAAATCTGTCTTCTAACTCAGTGGTAGGGTCAAAACATGCAATTGTTGTGGAGAGAAGAAGGACACCATCACACCATTTGAGTGTTCCAAGTCTTGGGTGAAGCAGCAGTGCCTATAAAGTAGCAGCTCTTTACTTCTTACTGAGTATGGATGCATGTTTTGGGTTCTGCAGGCGAGAGCTGGAGAAAACTGAACCCTGCACATGATATAAAAAGGTGCAGCTTTCTCCAGCTTCTCTCCTTCACAGGCTCAAATAATTCCACCAACCACTGTTTCCAGTTCAGAATCACTTGCACTCAATTTGGTTTCCTTCAATATCTCTCACCTCCAATGTTGAAAGATGAATGTAAGAATTGGTGGGCACCGAACCCTAAGTCAGATCAATGCAGGCTCAGTTCCCACCAATATCTTACCTTCGACTGCTCAACCACATTTGTACCAACCATTAACAAATTTTTCGGTGAGAATTTATATTGTGACTCAAGTTTTTGCCTCAAATTTGATGTCATTTTACCTAATTTTGCCCAAACTAGTTAAGATCAATAAACTAATGCATGTCTAGATTTTTATTTGATTATTAAATAAAATGAAAATGGGTTCATTATGCACTTGTCTCTTCGAGCTTCAAGGTTCTTGTTTATTACAAGACAGATCTCCATCATGCCTTCAATGATGGGGAACATGTAACATCATACATCACATCACTATCCACACATCTCATCAAGCAAGCAAACGCACGATCAAAGAGGAACCTCCGTGCCGTGATGGATTGCATGGTATGTCAACTGCAAACTTGGACCATACAGAGCAGAATTCAGAAACCAAACAGCCATAGACATATTATCATGTTAAAAGCTAAATAAGATCATGTAAGTAGATCTCTGTTTGATATGCAAGAAACAACAGCAATATCACCATGTTTGATGGATGTGGATGGATCAGTATGGCCAGTCTACCGCAATGCAATATCGAGGCTATAATAATAGGCGGTATGCTGGTTCTGGCAATGTCAGCAGTTCCTGCAGGTTTTTCAAATCACATATCTAGCAGAAATCCAGTATCGATTGAGGTTGCAAGATTTGACCAAAATTATATCTCCATCTTGTGGCATGCCCCACGGAGGTGACTGTGTCAACAGCAGAAGCAAAATAATGCAGCTCGGGACCGGCAGCAGTCATGCGTTGAGATGATCTTGTCATTCTGCTGGTATCTGAAGCAACTCTCGAATACCTTCACATACCTGAAGGTTTATATTTGTTATTGTCTTCAGCAGCCAGATATTAACTTGTGAGATATAAAATGATGAAACAGTACTTATCGTCTGAAAACCTGCATCATGTAATTTGACCAAGAATACAAGTGCTCTCCTTTTTATGATCCTTTAATTACTTTTTGCCTCCGAATGAAGCAATCATACATTTGCTTAAATTATCAGTGAAAGAAGTAAGCCTGACCTAAGAATGTTAGTGCGTACCAAATCTACATAATACCAAAAAGAGTAACATCTATAATGACGTGAAAAAAATAACAGCAGTACTTCCATAAGGCCAACCAAATTAACATTGATCATAGTTTCAGGCCCAACTAGTTGCCTTAAATCTAGAAAACTACATAGCATCATCTGTAACTCTATACTACTCTAACAAATCCCACCTTATGCTCCATTACAAGATAATAATGCAGAATTTTCCAATATGTTTACCTCAACAATCAACACATAGAAACCATAGGTACTCATCTAAATCTTAAAAATTCCTAATAGAGTGAAATATATAAATGTATATATCATAATAATGCAATACAACAAACAGGCTACTGGAATGCTACAAACGTTTAGATGAACAACTTAGCAAGTCTTTTGGAAGAAAAATTACAAAGGCATGCCTAACGTATATTTGCGATTAAGAGAAAGAAATTGTTTTGCACAATGAAAAAATCAATTACGATACAGAATCAGCACGCTTACCATCTTGATCTGCGCTTTGATGTTTGCAATCAGGTGAGTGTACTCATCTATTTGTCTGCCAAAATACATCATCAAAGAAATAGTACTTTGGAGTAGAACATAAAATGAAAATACACTTAAAGAAAGAAAGACTAGAAAGCAGAAACAAGCCAATGTAAGAAGTTTCATCAATGTCATGATCTTCTACCAGCGTAAAACATGTATCCATGGCAACTGATTAATCATTAACCATCACCACTAACATATCTCCATCTTATTCCTCGCCTTAACTTATCAAGACAACAATTTCACCTTCCAAAATCAGGTTCACGAGAACAAAAGCAAAAAATCATTTTAATAGGACCTGATGCCATAAAAACACAAGTTGTACGATCCATCAACATATCCTACAAAATAAACTTGAGGACGGAGTCCATTGTAGTGCATATTACACAACAGCTCATGCAATAGTGACAATAAGAAATTCATAGGCCTTAAATAAGGCCGCTACCTTCAAAATGCATTTCCCTAGACTCACATGTTACAAAATGTTAAAAACAATGTATACGATACAACTTGCAAAGATTGCCCGAAAAGTAAGTTCGATGTAGCCAAGACCTATAAAAAAAAAAATCACATCTGGTCGTCCTTTACATTAAAGGACCATAATCACAATACCTTCATCCATTGATTCACATCCGAAAAGAATGGACTGATTCAAAGATTCAATCAAAATCCAAAGGCCAATAGGACACTTCTGTTTCATTATGAAACTGACACATTTTTCCAACTCTACAAGAAATCCCTAAAGAATTCTCAATTTTCCAATTTAAAAAAAGAAGAATGTCAAGATTGAAAAAGATATCTTGTACAAATACAAATGAGAACAATAATGAGAGAAAAAAGCCTTACGTACCAACTATCTATGAAAGCCTACATGAATCTTCTCCCATCTAGCAATATGAAGGGCCAGATTTTCCATCTGTGCAAAAGACACATTTTCTCATCCTTTTGCTGCTATGAAAACTCTGTTTCTTTTTTTTTCTCTCTTTCCCTTGTAAGAACTCAAGTATAAGTCATGTGCCATTTTCTTACAGTTCTACTATAAGTTCTCTGAACATTTTATCCAAAATAGTCTTAACAAACTTCTGGATAACAAAAAACATAATTGTTGTTCTCTGTTTCTCTTAGTGCATCTATTCATCCATCTTAAATTCCTCATCTTAACCACAATAAATATCTCTGAATCATATTTTCTCGCCATCCATTGTCTGGAATAGCTTCATAGCTTGATCAATGGATCTTCTAACAGACATGCTGACCACACTACTCACCCTTCAATTTGAAAAATAACAATAAAATAACATTGAAATGAAGACACAAAAAATAAATGTGCCCAACTATTGGTCATTACAATTAAGATACTTTTGTCTCCACACCATTCAATGGCATACACTAGAAGTATTTCTCTGGTTCAGCAAAAAAAAAAAAAACAAGTAACTTACCTGGCTAATCTTGCTTCCCTCACTGATATGAATTCAAGTGCTTCCGACCAAGTGAACTCAACATGAAATCCCAACCCTATATCTACAAATATGCGGCGGGTGTCAGGTCTGCAAAGTGCATATATAGGAAAGAGAATGAATAAATTTCTGTAAACCCAATGATAACCATATAATATTACAAATTCATATGGAACTGGTAAAGCATCCACAACAACACAAATGTAAAGGTAAATATACAATTTGCATATACACAGCCAAAATTAAGCAAGCTTGGTGTCAATAAAAGGAAAGCATGTGACTAATTTTAGGCAAACTCAGCATCAACCATACAGATTCTTTTAGATTTGTCAGATAAAAAGTTCTAAAGAAGAGTACAGGTTAAGTAGGTCATTGCTTGTATATATCCATGTGAGGGTGAGCTTTGGTACAATGGTAAAATTGCTCCTTTATGATTTGGATGATCAAGATTCAAGTCACAAAATCAATCATAAATTGATATAACTAGTCAAGTCACGAGCCACTAGATTATTCTTATTTCTTTTATGTTTTCCTATATGTCTCCTTACGACATTATTACAAATTGACTCATCTTGTATAATTAGGGCAACTACACGCATCTTTGATTGGCACTAAATTTCCCCATTTTATCCTCAAACTCATTTCACAAATGAAAGTGCAGCCTTCTCTTAGCATTCCTCATCTCAGGAAATCTAACATGTTATTTCCTGATTACTTAACATTTTGATCCATAAATCTAAGGCACACCATAATAATCATAACTATACTTCTAATGACACTCACCACTTTAAACAATGTGTTTTAACCAATGATCGAAATTTTGTACCGTACCGGTGTACCGAGATTTGCTTGGTACAATATGGCGTACTGCTCGGTACACTAGGGCATACCGCTCAGTACACCAGCGCATATCGCTCGGTACACCAGCACGTACCGAGCGGTATGCCTAAATAAATATATATATAATTAATATATAAAAATATAAAAAAAATATTTTATATAAAAATATAAAAATCAATATATAAAATATAAAAATAATATAAAAATATTTTAAAAAAGACGTACGCAACCTCGACGACATCGCCTCCTCCTCTTCTCCTCGTCGCCTCGTCTGCAGCATTCAACAAAGAATGCAACAAAGAAGAAGGCAGTAGAGTTGCAGACGAGGCGATGAAGGAGACCGTCTCCTGGATCTAGATCGTCGAGGGAGGGCAGCGCCAGATCGGGATCGAGAAAGGGCGTGGAAACAAGTTTGCGCCAAGGTTCTCCTGATTCTCCCTCTTCTTCGAACGTCCTCTCCTTCTTCCTTCTTCGATGCTTCTCCCTCAGCCTCGTCGCAGCCAGGCTAATACCGCCTGGTAGCAGGCAGTAACGGTCAAAATTTTGTCTGTTACCGCTTGAAACAGCCCCATATCATCTAATACAGGGCTATATCGAGCGGTCCGGTACGTACCACCCGGTACGGGCGATACGATTCGAAATCGCAAACCTTGGTTTTAACTCTATGCTGCTGAATGATAGATCCAAGATATCAAAATTATTATTTCTAGAAGTTTATTGTCCATCTATTTTTGCACATGCTAGTAGAAATAACTAAGGTCAACTATATGACATCAATAACACTTTATCTACCCAAAGAAAATATGAGCAGCAACAGGAAGATGGTGTACATAAAGAAAAACCAATCAAATACCAAGTTAGAAACCTAGACCTGATAGAACTCAACCCATATCCATATTCATGTTGTGAAGAAAAAGGTTGAAATGTGTGCCACGGCTATCGATTTACATAACCAGGCGTGATGCCACTTACATGCCAAGACCCAAAACAAGTTGTAATGATTATTAACATGGGTTCTAATACTTCAAATGGTACAAAACAACATTCCTGGCTATAAAATGTATTCAATTTTTCGCTCTTGTTTGTAGTTTTGCAAATCTCACATCTGTTTATTTTGTCAATCCAAGCAATATCTCCATTAAATCAAAACAACCATGACTACAATTAAGATATAAAAAGGACGGCGTAACATCTTGATTACGAGAGGTGCAAGGAACACAGTGGAAATACCTTCATTGCTAAAGAAAGCAATAAAGGTGTGTTCATCATGATGTTTGTTAAAAACCATGTAATACCTATTAAAAAAGCTCAATGATCACCAGCATAAGCACAAGGGAGGAATTTTACACGAAAAGAAAATATAATCCAAACTGAGAGATTTACACATCCGCTTGCACGTAGACTTCGGAGCCAAGATTGACCATGGAACGAAGACGGGTCACCCCATTCTTCTCCAAGCTCTCAATGTTCGTCTTCAAATCGGAGCTATTATCCCACAACAAAAAACAAGCAAAAGGTCAAGAAAAACAAATGGCAAAACCGTCTACACTGATCCCCTCGCCATCGAAAATAATCGAGAAGGGCCAAAAAAGGATACAAGACCTTCTGTTGCTGGAACACCTTATCTCTGCAAAGCAGAAAAGAACAAGCTCGGGATATCAGAGCTCCAAAGAATGCATCAGAGAGCCACCAAGACGGAGGAGGAGGTACCGCTGAGCGATGGCTTTAACTAAGTCGGGCTTCAGGCGGCGGTCGACGAAGTCCTCGAACTTCTTCACCTTCTCTTGCCGCAGACGCGCATCGATCTCCTCCATCCGCCCGTCGGCCGCAAGAGGGAAGGGAGGGGTTTCTCTCGCTCGCTCGCTCGCTCGCTTGGCTTGGCCGCTCCTCGAGTGTTTTATTGGGCCCAATCGTGTTTTGGGGCATTTAACCCAAATTTGTATTTAATCCTTCAGAATAACTTCTTTTATATATTTTTACTTGGCTTTTATCATTCACACCGTAAAACCAATTAATGATCGGATCAATCTAAAAAAAATAAAAATAAAACCAATTGATGACCAAATCGATCCAAAAATCGAACGTTCTTCGATCGAATTGGAGAATATTTAGACTCAAATTGAATTGGTGACTGTGAGGCTGCTGCAATCAATGCGAAGACGACTCCACGAGTTCGATGAACATTTCGAATTCGACGAGTGTTCGGATGTCGCTAGAGAAATACTTTGTTTTAGATATTGTGAAAATTGGATGATGAAATATGAACGCAGATAAGGCAACCATATTAGAATTTAACTCAAATTTTGTGTTCCTGTCTTTAATGATCGATAGGAATTTACTATCCGCTATCAACTTGATAATTAAGATAATATTAAATTTTCTTTCTTTATTATAAGAAAAATAATATCTTAAATCCAATACAAAAGTTTCCGAATAAAATAATATCTTAAATTTTCTTTCTTTATTATAAAAATAATAATATCTTAAATCTAATACTTTCAATTCAAGTTTAAGATCTCATATTACTAAATTAAATACTTATTCATCTCGATCTTCGTATAGATGACACTTCAAATTCTCTGATCTTCGTATAGTTGATATTTCAAAAATATAATACTTTCACTAAAGATATTTCGAATAATCTTACGCATATAAATTTTTTTTCAAGAAGGAAAACTGATATATTGATTTCTTTTTCTTTGGTTTGGCTTTGGCCTTAACTAAAAACCACTTTTTTTTTCTCTCTCAACCTTTCTCCTTCACCCTCCACCACCACCATCACCTCCGCCATCTCTTCCTCCTCTCCCCTCCCAGTCCGTGGATCCAACCATCGGCAGTCCAACCTGCAGAATATTTGATGGTTGACAGCATTAGAAAGATACGGAGTCTGGTTTGGCTTGTTTGATCTCAGACTCACCAACACTTGGTGATTCACTGTGTCATTCAGCATGTTTCAAAACCAGTGATTACAGGATAAAATCCTACACAAAGGAACAGTAAATTAAACACTTCAGACAGAGGCGCACATAAATTTAGCTAATAAGATTTTATTGTGTTTCATTAAAGCATCGGTGTTTCAAGAACCAATCGGGAACAATGATGCTCTGGGAATTAGTTGGATGCCGTCAGATGCAAAATACCAAAACTTTTGTTTTACTTCAGCAACAAATGGCAAACTAATCCACCTTCTTGTCGGCTTTGGCGTCTTCATCTCGAGGTGAACTGCTACTGCTGCTGCTTAGTTCAGATGAGGTTTTCGATTCATCGTACTCCAACAGCTGTGCACATCAAGAGGAAATCGGCAGGAATCACTTTCAATAGAAAATTTGAGATAGAATGACAACATGAATTAGCAACAAGAGCCTACTAGATACTGGATCGACGCAATAAACCCATCAGCAATGGAAAATTTGGTATTGTAGTTTCTCCAAAAATGTACTAAAAGTTCCACCTAAGATTTAATATGTTTACAACTTTGTGAGTTGACCAACATACACAGTCTCCATTATGAAGGGGGCATTATTATCATACCATTATCGAACCCATTTCTAATTTCTCTCCTCGTTCATCTACAACTCATATCTCTTTATCGTAAATCAACAAAATCAACTGTCGTCTCTTTATAGTAAATCATCAAATCAACAAAATCACTTGCTTGATGTTCCTCGGTGATGGGGAAAAATATATGCACTTCTCTCTCGTAGATTGAAATAGCAAACTGACGTCAATTCCAATCCAACCGTCTCGACTCATCCATACTCATATTCTATGGCAAACTGGTGGTGGAAAGAGAAATTGGTCCAATCCAAATCTTTTCCCCAAACTTATGTGCTCATTTTACATCAATTTTTTATATGCTAGGTCTGCTTTACAAATCACATATAAAGAAGCAATTCATAATTGCAACTCAAGTATATAAATCACTATTGAAAAGGTAAAATTTCTCTTCCAACTTTGCTACTTGGGAATTAAAGCTCCAAGGTGCCACTAAAAGAAATTATATGATCAAAGACCATTGACAAAAAAGATACTGTATGTACCATTTTTACATCCCCATTCCAAAGGCAATGAGCACCCACAATTCCAATAACACCAGGGACTATATAAAGCAAAGCAGGCTGCATGTCACAAAACCCCCGGTTAACAGAACATATAAATATGAAAAATAAAAACTAGAACTGGACAAGTTTTAGTAAAACGCTTTATAAGTTTACCTGGGCAGCTTGAAACCAGTTCATGACAATGATTGTTAAGGTCAAACCAATAGTATATCCCAAAAAGGCACTATTGAAATAGCATATTTTCTTTCCTCTTGACACATCAAAGCGCAATGCCAATGCTACAAAAATCCCTGAACATTAGCAAGCATGTCAAACTTCAACAAAAGAATAGACTGCAAGTATGAGATGGCTTCCAGATACACCAACTTAAAATTGGAGCAATTCACTTAAAATATTAAATAAAATTGGGATAGGAGAATTTAATTGGAAAAAAAACCACATGTTGATTTGTGGCACAGCCAGATAGGCCGACTGAAGCAAACAACAGAATTCCAGGTATATGTTCTTTCATGAACTTCAATGCATGTAGTTTAATACTGCTTAACCTTTCTACAAAGGCAAGTGATCACAAGCCAGAATCCTCTACCATGCTAATAACCAATGTTTTAAGTTTCCGACTAAGACCTGTACCGATTGCTGACTGGACTAGTATTCACTACACCAGGTGGTGAGTTTGGATTGGTAGAACTATTGAACAGTAACCCTGTCATTTTGACTAGTCTGTGTCCCTTTTTTTTTTATTGGCTACCAATCTGTACAGGCTAGTCCAACCAATTTATAAATCCAAGGTTTTCAATTTCAAGTATGAAACTCATACCGGTCCATGGTCCGACCAGTAGCAGGCCTGGTCCATTCTGATGTACTGAAACATGGTGGGGTGGGGGCAGGGTGTTTTGTGTGGAGAAGGAGAAGAAGAGGATGAGGGGGAGAAGCAGGGAAAGGAGAAGGATGTGAAGAAGGTGGAGGCAAAATAGGAGGGAGTACACAATGGGGGCAATGTGTCACAGGCGAGGACCAAAGGCGGCAAGTGACATGATAAGTGGTGGGCTAGACGTGCACACAAGATAGAGAGAGGGAGAATTGAATGGGCTATTAGGGTTTTTTAAATAAACATGTTAAATAAAAAAACCATGATTATCAAGTAGTAAATTGTTTGGAAGTGGATTGCCTGATCTAAAGTGATCAGTGTGTTAGTAACCTGTAATCGACAGACCAATATGTCCTGGGTGGTACATAGCAGTCCGCCAGATGTGTAGAACTATGTCTAAATCATTGGCTTCAACAATCATAATCATATTCATTCCACAAAAGTCACTTTCTCTACCGCTCATGAAATATAAAAAGTACTCAAAAATCAAAATTATTTAGTAGAGTCACTTTTTTTATAGAACTTTCTCTACCACTCACTCAGTGTATGGCTTTGTTGTTGATGTAGTAGTAGTAGTATTTCTAGCACTACCATTTAAGTTTATACAAGCCTTGGTGCCTAATCACATCTCAACAAAATTCACTCTATGGTATAACTAGCCAATATCATTCACTCTCTTCTCTAGCTGCTTTTGCAATGGTGATAGGAGTTGCCACAATGATATGCTTAATACCCAGTTAGACAACTTTCTCAATTAAAACAATCATGTGACCTATTGGCTTGTCTCGACAAATACATTCTATGGTTTCATCAAGCAACATCAAACCCAAGTGGTAAATGAACCTAATCAAGCATGAACCAGCTTGATTGATAACCAATATCAAACTAAACTTGAATCAAACATGAAACAAGCCTTATCCAGGCTCTGTAGGATTGACTTATGTTGATTCTAGATCAACTAAATCCATTTATGGTTGCATAATAAAGAAAGATGTGTAACCAACTGATCAGGAAACCCAAACATCAAGCTGCCCAGGACTTGTCCACTAGTCATCCATTAATGAGCCAGTGAATGCCAAGTTTTACCTTCCAATAGCTTCCGGGTTACCATTCCTCAGTTTCCATAAAAAAAAATTATCTAAAAGGCACTACTACCCAACCTAAACAGTTAACGATCTATTAAGATAGAAGAATTACTTCAGCATATAGAAAAACAAGCCTGACCTAAATATCTCACCAGGAATAACAATATCACCAAGTCCAAGCATAGAAAATCGTCGTGCAGCATCAGAAGTTGGGAATAGAAGCTGTTGGAAACAAAAGGAACACAAGTGTTCATGCTACAGTGATCACATATGTAGATCAACCACCAAATATCTAAATGTAACACCCTAGAGAACTGACCTTTACTGGAGCATCAAAAGATTTAGCAACACTAACCATCACAGGCGTGAAGAATACCCAAAAGATATCATAAAAAAATAGTCCAACCTGAAATTGGAGTTAAAAGGCATAAATTAGACGAACATATTTATTATCATTCAAACAAAAATCTGAACTGTCCTGAAGTAACAAAGACAAAGGTTGGCACAATTGATTGATAAACTTGCTTACCAACAAAACATTTTCCTCTATTCTCAGGAGCTCATAAAACAGAAGGTAAAATCAGTATACGATTAAAAACTGATAATGTCAGCAATAATAAGTTAGATACAACCAAAAGACCATACCAACAAAATACATGTGATTGTCATGGGCAGCTGCCTAACACCTAGACAGTGGATATGATGCCTAAGCTTTAGAGGGTTTCAAGCCTCACTACTGGCCGAGGCTCTGAAATAGTCACCCGCTTAGGTAGTATGGATTATCAAATGTGTTTATACATAAATATGTAACAACTAATCTTGAATTCAAATGCATACCTAGGCCTTCATCGTAGGCGATATGACAAATTTGGCCACAAGCTTGCACAGATTTATGCAGATTTCAGTCAATCATCATGTATGAATATTATGAGAAAAGCAATAATTTCAATATCATTGTACCATATAATAATGATCAAGGTGATATTCTAGCAGATGGGAAAAATTCTAGAGGTTGCAGTAAAAGTTGCTTAAAAAGTTTGACAGACAGTAGAAAGATTTGCCTAACATGTAATTATATTAGATGATTGCAGCCAGATCTACCAAGCAATACTGATTTATAGACTACTCAGACCACGTTCCCTTTAACTAAACTTAAAAAATCCTAAAACAGCCAGTACCACAGGATTGCCCAAAAGTGGACAAAAAAAGAGATCTCGAAGGGTAAAGCTTGAAATTGTAGGAAACATGATAAAACTAGTACAACTACTTGATGTTGCTTTCCTAGAACAAAGCACAATATTCGACACAACAAGATTCCAAAATTCAGTGGAGAGATCGATACATGTTTTATCATAAATGCCCCCCTGGTCGTTTCACATTCTTGCAGACATGAGAGTGTCCCCTTACGAAGCGTTAGATTTTATTGCACAATCATCCACAACAAGATCCTTAAATTTACTGAAAGTAGCCACAGCAACATGTCAACTAATCAGGATAAAAAGAATGAAGGGAAAAATAAGCACCAGCATCACATAATCTAATCAGAAGAAGAGAAATGCAGGGCAAAAAAAGGCAGAAAAGAAGACTGAATTGCATAAAACCCAGATTCCTGACCGGTGCAATACTATCTCAGTATCTCTTAAGTTAAAAACAAAGGAAGTTCTATGTGTTGCAAACTGAACAATCCCAATGCTACTTTCTCTTCCATGATACCATGGATAAGGTACATATGTTGTTTTTTAAATATCATTAAAACAACATTTCTTTTAGATAATGCAGTCAATTCTAACAAACAAATTATTTATTCAAGATGCAAATTCTTAGTTGTTTCTTATGATCCGGCACTAAATGCTAATGATTAAGGTCAGTCATAATCCAATTCCAAGATATCTGAACTAACGAACTTAATACTTAATAGTAAATGCTTCAAGAAGAAATAGCCATTACAAAATCTAAGCAAAATTGTACAGCAAATGTAAGTAACAGAAGATAAATCCAATTGCACATGGAGCAAAGAAAGCTTTGTTGTCCTTTACCAAAAGAATGGCACCAGTTTTGAATGATCCCAATGACATCATTTCAATTCCCTATAAAACAGAAGAGCTTGTTGAATGCAATTGGAGAATCTTAGTCAAAAATAAAATACAATTTCTTTTCAAAGTTTGAACTCTATATACTGTATTGCCTTCAAGTGTAATTTAAAGTTTAAATATCAAGAGCATGTGTAATTTCATATTCTGGGATCAGGTGGAAAATGAAATCTGTCCAATATAATGTGGGAAAAGGCTCCAGCAATTTCAGAATAGCATATCACAGACAAAAATGAATCCCAACAGGATGATATTCTAAAAAAGATGATCCTTGATATCCTCTCAATCTGGCTGCACAGATATGAAAAACTATGTCCCCATTTTCTATAATCTATTACTTTTTTCTCTCCAAGACCTGTATTCTCTTCCATCTTATGTCCGTTAACCCTATTTTCCGTTCAACCTTGAAATCATTTTAGCCTTGGTATGTTTTGTTCCTTGACAACAACCAAAAAGCTCCAACTTTGAACTCCCTCAATTTTTTAAAAGAATCAAGTTCAGTTCCTAGCCATGCCAAACTCTTGAAAGTATAGTACTGTTGTTCGACAAAATAATTAGTTTGTATTATGTGTATCTACAGCAAACAATGAGAAAATCAATTTTTTTATAATGAATTAATGATATCAAAAAATCATCTACCTTACCCAGGTAGGGTTTGGGAAAAGGCAATAAAGCTTTTCCCAGTACCAATACATACTATAAACTATAAAGTATAAAGTATGGAGAAGTTTGGAGGGAAAATGATAAGCATTTGTTTTACTTTAGATAGGTTTGATAATGCAATAAAAAACCTTTTCAAGTAAAATAAAAGAAAAACAAGCAAAAAATCACTAAAGAGAGCATATAAACCAGGTACATCATCAATCATCAAAACAATATAAAAGTTAAGAGGAATACCATAAATAATTTATATTTTAATAACTAACCTGAATGCAGAATGCAATTCCCAAAATATTGTTTGCCAGCCAATGCTTCTTCAAAGCATACCAGAGGCAAAAGAAAGTTCCTGGTATTGAGGCAACAATCTGGGACCTGGTGAACTCTACTGAAGCAGCTGTAACAAGAAATATCAATATGATAGTACATCATTCAGTGAGAACTCATTAGAATTCTGTGCGAATCATAATTATCCTATTTCCATTGAGACAATGCTTGCTCTCATTAGAATCCCTTTATCAACCTTTCTTTCTTCATTAGTCTCTTTGTATCTTTGCTTGTTCCACAAGGATGCACTCTATTATATATGAAAAATATATGACACGAAAGCTACAGAATCCAGAATGTTAACTGAAACAGCTTAGGCAGTTTTTTGAAACCATGCCCAAAATTTGCACTTACAGACCACAATGAACTTTGAAAATTCTTGTCATCATCCTTGATGAGTAAATTTTATCCCTCTACACAATTTTAGATCCTAAAATTTACAGCATTTGCTACACTGTATTCCTTGAAGATCATGCTAAACCTATGTCAAGAATATAACTAATGAACCAAACCAGGAGCTGCACATCTGAAATTCCCCTAAAACAGTAACTTGTATTTGTATTTTCATGTATCATTATTTTTATAAGAGATGGTTTTAATATGTTGAGCAATGATCATGACTTCCAAGGTTGATTGGTGATCAATGTTGTGTTGTTTATTAAAAGCATTTAGTCAAGGTAAATAAGAGTACAATGAGAAGGCTATTAATAATATAAGTATAAGCTGCAGCTAATTGACAGTTGATACAGTAAGGCACCTAAAACAATTTGCTAGCAGCAGATAAAAAGAACAAAATTACAAATTCAGAACGAATGAAACATATGACACTGTCAACATAAATTAATTTGACACAACACAGAACGAAGGGAAAATAAATCAGAAAGTGAATATAACATACAATCAAAATAAGGAGCACGCCAAATTATGAGGTCATTGTTCCAATGTTCTGGAAGAAAACGCTTAATTGCTGGTGATAATGTTGCTCTGCATGTCAAAATTGGCAGCAACTGAGGTGTTAAACCAACTAATCCTAGCAAAAATCATTGATAAAATCTATTTTTACTGGAAATGACAAATTACTCACGAGATAGCCACAATCCCGAGAATAAAGAAGTAACATGTCAGTACTGCATTAACCAAATCTTTGGAGAAAATTTTGAAAAGCAGAAACAACAATAACAGCATTGCACTTCCGACAAAAGGAAATCGCATGGCATGCTTGTTTGATATCATCTCCTGCACATATTTCATGAACACATTTGATATAGGTTGGTCAGTCTTAACCAATAAAAAGAACAAATTTTAACCTAACTGATAAAGATTTTGACTAGGTGACTGAAAATTCCAAAAACTTCTGTTAGGAAGTACCCAATACATTTATAAACTCTAACATCTCCTCTCATGTGGAAGCCCTACTCGCACGTTAAATTAAACCCAGGTGTATGATGCAAGTCAATTAGAGAGAATGCACAAGTGTTAATGAAACACCTGACAAAATAGAGAGGGATGGACACAAGATTTGAACCTATAAACTATTCTAAACTCATGATGAAGATTTTAATATATCTACGAACTCTAGCATTAACATATCCACTCACTCCCATCACCCTGCTCACCAAAACAAACAAACACCTATGCAAAAGGCCACCCACCAATGTTGTATATGAGGAGGATTTATATATCTTGCAATTCTCCCTTGCAAGTAAAGAATTGTTTCTGTGACTCTGGACCTTAGTCACCAAAGTCAAGCATGAACAATCTTACTGTACAATCAAGTCCCTCCCACCACCACCTCTCACCATCCAAAAAAAAGAAACTAACAAATAAAAATATGGATAATACTCACTGGAGGTGGCGTTGGCTTGACTGAACGATGGCAACCAACATAAACAGTCAAGCATGCTGTCAAAACTACATTCACATTGGGATTTATCTTCACTAATAGTGGAGCTAAGGTCAGACCTGCAAGAAAATAAATGTGAATTTTAAATTGTCAAGTTATAGGACCATTTATAAAACAAAATCCCTTTGTGACGAAGCCAGCAGTACAAAAACCAAGTACATTTCATCAACTATTATCAAAACTTTCAAAGACAAGCTTATAGAAGTCTTAACGAATTGCATCTAACAAGCAATGTGTGTGTGTGTGTGTGTGTGTGTGTGTGTGTGTGTGTGTGTGTGTGTGTGTGTGTGTGTGTGTGTGTGT